GGCAGGTGACCATTCTGCCTATTTCCAGAAAAACAAAGGAAGTCTTCACTTAGGAAACACCCACCCCCACCACCCAAGCATACATCTGCATCTTCACTTAACTTTTCCTCCTTTGTCCTATCTTCATAGTGGACTACCTGTTTTCCAGTCTTTCGGTGCCCTCTGGTTCTGAACCCCAATTTCCCCCACCTTCTCCAGCGCTGACTGAAATAGAGTCAAGCAAAAGTAAGTGAGTTTATTAAAGAATCAAGATGGAGGACTTGAGCCCAGGAACAGCTCTGGAAAAACGTTCCAGATAGTTCTGGGAAAGCCGCCCAATTCTGAGCTTCTCAATGAGGATTTTATACAGCTTGCAAGAAACACATTTCAAGGATTTTTGCAGTGAAAATCCAGGCAGGTGTCCAGTTAATGTATCTATCTGATGTTATCTTTGGCATGGAGAAAGGCAAAGAGGGTTGTTAAAATTTACCTTTATCTACTTAGAGTCTTATCTTCTGGGAACTGGGAGTTCTAGCAAAGCCATAAACCTGAAAATCTGTCTTTCTTTCAAGTTACAGATTTGCTCAGAGGTAACTTTTTTGGTTGTTCAGCAGTTTCTTGTAAGACAAGCCTAGCTTTGTGTTAACTCTTGTGCTGCCTCCCTTGGTGAGACCAAGCTGGGGTGTATCTGCTACATTGTCAGTTTTGATTAACACCAGCCAGTCATGTCTCTTTCCCCCAGACACTTTTTTTTCCCTCTTTAGTGTGTGTGTTAGTTTATTTTTTTCTGTTTTCTCCCACTCTTGAATTTTTTCTCTTGTACTGCCTCTTCCCCTCATCGTGGAAACATCCCATACCCTTTCTTTAAAACAATCTCTCCCTCACTCTCTTACCCTTATTATCTCCCAGCTAACAACCATGTTCTCAACTTCACTTATTCTTGACCTACTATTAACTATCTTTAGATCCAACTATTCCACTGAAACCAGCTCCTGGAAGCTGCTAACTTTAGGTTACTCTTTAGCCTTGTCTTGCTGGTCCTGTTTGCTGGACTAGAAACTGGGGACCACCACTCCTTCCTTCCTGAACATTCGTTTCCTTAGACTTCCACACACACCATCCTTGTGGCTCTGTTCCTGCCCCTCTTTCTCAGTCTCCTTGTTTCTTCTCCACTTTCTCTCCCTGATCTCTAATTTTGTGTTCAACAGGAGTTGGCCTTGGCACTTTCCCCTTCTGATCTCAGAGTTCCAGGAAAATTTTCTCTGTTTCTATGGTTTTAGTTATCATCCATGTGTTGTTTTCTCAATATCCAGTTGCCTTTCTTTTAAACAGGTGTGCAGACCTAATTTTAAAAAAAATTACATTTCCCAGCCTCCCTTGAAATTAAGGATTGCTATGTGACTAGAGTTGACAATGACGCATAAGGAGCACTCTATGCAGATTTCTGGGGAAGTTTTGCTTTCCTAACACAGCTGTGTTCCTTGATCCTTTTTGCCCTTTCTTCTGCCTGTTTGGAATGCAGGTAGAGGCTGGAGCTGGTACAGCCATTCAATCACCGACCACAAGTTCACTCTTAGGGTAAAAGCTTTCTAGTAAGCAGAACCAGAGCAGACTTACAGAGTGGATCTGGGAATTTAGTGACATTGTGGAGCTGCTAACCAGTTTTGCTCTGTTTGTTTACTTTTAGAATTTTTCTTATATCAGAGTTTTTCAACAACTATAGTAACAAAATCCACTTGGTTATACCATGTAGTTGGGTTGCTGTTAGAGCTCTAATTAATATAACTCCCAAATTTATAGCTTCTATTTAGAGGTCTCTCCTGAATTCTAAACAGAAACCTGAACTTCTCTACTTGGTCCAGGGACACTTTAAATGTAAGAGGTCCAAGTTGTGACCTACTGTCAAACATACACACATACAAGGTCACTTGGATTCCTTGTCTCAATGAAAAGCATTCCTGTTTATGCAACCAAAATACGATGTCTGTATATTTCTTATCTTCCCATCTAATTGGTCACCCCGTAGTTCTACCTCCTAAATGTATTTTGAACCTGTTCACTTTTTTCCATTCCCTAATCCTGAACTTCCTGAGCCATTGTAATAGTTTCCTTCCTAGTTTTCTTTACTCTAGTTTTGCTCTCTCCAATCCACTCTCCGAAAGCACAGAGGTAATATTTCTATTCTGCCTAAACCTTTTAGTGACTGCTTAGGGCCTAAGGACTACTAGGCATTCCTCTGCAGGAATTGTTGGTCCCATACACATCATTCCTTCTTTGGCATAAGTGACCACAAGGATGGACATGCGATGTGACGCAGACCTGGTCCAATTTTAGAATCCTCTGGTGACTGGTCCAGGAGTGGGCATATGACCGGAGCTGGACCAATTGAAGATTCATACCAACCTAGAGTACAGTTATTTACAGACAGGTCTCTGACATGGGGCAAATCCTGAGAAGGAGGAGAGAGGGAGAGGGTCTGGTCTGTGGAGCTCCCAGGATCAGCCCCGTTTCTGCTCATAAAACCCTTCCATGGCTTAATAAATCTTAATTCTTTAATATAGTCCTGCATGCCCCTGCTTACCACCCCACTTCATCTTGATCTTCTTTCCCACATTTGCTACTTCAGCCACATTGGTTTTCCTTCAGCATCTTGACACATTCAGAGGTTACCTTTTTTCAGGGCTGTGACACATTGTGATGCCATCTGGTATGTCTCTGCCTGGCATTTTCAAAGGCTATCTCCTCATTCTTTTGACTCAAGTTTCAGTATCATCGCCTCAAAGACATTTTCCCTGCCAGCTCCATCTAAAGTAGCTCTTATTCTCTCTCCCACCTCTTGTTTTTGTCCCGGCATTTACTTCAACTTACAACTATTTGTCTTTTCCATTAAAAATAAGCTTTATAGAGCAAGAGGCCTCAGCTGTCTTGGTTTACTGCTGCATTCCCAGCATCAAAATAGGACCTGGCACAGACTGGATACTCTACCAAGATTTTGTTCTCTGTTGAAGGGTGACTGAATAGACAGGTTCCCCAGAGGTCCCTGACGTGCCTAGAATATCAGTCATCCCTGTCCCTGTATCTCCTTAAATAAACAATAGGTGTTCCCTAGTGGCCTAGGGTTTAACTCTCACCACTACCACTTATATGGCCTGACTTTGTTCCCTATCAAGGAGCTAACCCACCAGGCTCAGCAGACCTCTCCTGTCTCGTCCATTGCTCCCCTCAGCAGTGTATTTCAGTAGATCTGCCTGTTCTGCTCTCCATTTTGTCTCTGGTGAGTCTTCTCACTCCTAGTACCTCTGGCTTACACCCCATTTTGTCTAGGCTAAAAAATAAACTTTAAAAGCAGTCTCCCTTTCAAAATTTCATCTTTCCATTACTTAAGACTATTGGTTATACTAGAGGTGATGCAACCGTGTTCTTGCATAAGTATTATTTCATGCTTTTGCGAAAGGGTGGTATCATTTCCCTGCCTCCACTTATATGCAGCCATCTTGATTTACAAGTCCCAGTGTGCCATGACCCCTACTTCCTGAGTGTGGGAACTAATGGGAACTAGAGGTAGAGCTGAACAGCCACGTGCTATATAACACTGAAGGCAGATGGGCTTTTGGGTTTCTCCAGCTTTCACTTGCACCCAGGGATTTGAACAGGACAGTGGGTCAAAGACACTTAGAAAAGCTATCCTTGGCAAAGACAATGGCAGCCATTATTTTGATTTTGCATTTTCTCTTGCTCATTTTGCCCCATACCTGCCTTACCACTTTCTGGTTAGTCCTCATCTGAAGGTGCCTTAGACTTGTGGCAAACTTTTGGGCCTCAAAAAAAAGCAGGCTTGCTATGGGCCAACCCTATTTGGGCACTTGCCCACAAGGGGATGGGTAATCTCATTGGGAAACTATTAGGAATATCCTTTCTTCTCTTCTCCCTCTGTGCAGACTAATTCTATTAAAAATCTCCATACTAAGAATCTACATCCTTTGCCTTTGTGCACACTGATGTCAGGATCCCTTTAGAGGGTGCACCCTTAACAGTGTGGGCTCCCTGGGTGACCTTTGATTCCTTTGATTGTGTGCTGACAATAGAGCCATGTTTCCTGGGCAGAACAGCCCATCTGAATGAGTTTGAGTGGGTAGTGTGCCTCATTTTAGACAGGTGGGTTGAGCCCACAGAGGCCCCCCCCTTTTGAACACCAGACCTAGCCAGCAGCGTGGACACCCTCCACCCCCTAGGCCCTCCCTTAGGCCTCCCCCTTCTCCAAAACCCCCTCCCGGATCTTCCCAGCCATTTCCTTAGGATGAAGGTGAAAAAAAAAAAAATACAAATCTCAGCAGGGGTCCAAAAAAATTTGGTATTTTTAGGATCAAAGCTATAAGTGCACGTCTTAACTGACCGATTTTGCAACGAAATGGAAAAAAAAAATCTCAATCTTACTACTCTTCTGTTGAAGCCACCCCCACCCCCAGCCTCCAAGGCCTGGCAGGACGCCCTTCTATTTCCAGTACAGCCATTTTTCTAATCAGAGCGCGCCCACCCCTACTCGATCACCCCGTGTCCCTCAAGACGTGCCTCCCTCGGCCGCCACACCCAGCCTCCTCCCGGCCTCGGGTCGCGGGGGTCCCACGCACGGCCGGCGGGGCCTTCACGCACCGAGGCTCGGTCCAGCCTTCTCGGAGGCCACAAGTGCCCGGCCCGGGTCCGGGCCAGGCCGGCGACGCGCGCGCGAGGGGAGGGCGCGGGCCGGCTCGCCCCCGCCTCCGGCACCGCCCTGGCCCGGGACCGGCCGGGCCCCCCACGGCGGCGGCGCGCGCGGGCGGCCCGGAGCGGGGGCCGGGGGCGGGGCGAGCGGGGGTGGGCGGGGCCGGGCCGGGCGGGGGCGGGGCGAGCGCGCGGCGGGCGGGGCGGGCCCGGGGCGGGGCCAGGCGCGCGGGGCCGCACCGCGCGGCGCGGGGTAGTGGCGCGGCTGAGGGTTGCCGCCCGGCGCCGCGCCCCCGGGCCCGCCCCTCCGCGCCCGCCTCCGCCCCTCGGACGGACGGAGTCGCGCCCTCCCTCCCGGAGCCGCCGAACTTGCTGTAACTTCCTCGGCCGAGCCCGGCCGCCGCCGCCGCCGTGCCGGGGTGAGTAGCGCGCCGCGGCCCGCTGGGGCGTCGGGCCCTGCCCCCCTCATTGTCTGAGGCCGACACCCCCCGCCCCCGGCTCCCGCGGGAGATCAGGACTGCGCCCCAGGGCGCGGATCGGCCCCTCGGGCTCGGGCGCCCCTGACCCGGGGCGGCCCTGTGGGCGGCGCTGGCTTTGTCTGCCCCGATCGCGCGCGAGGGCCGGGAGGCCGCGGCCCAGACCCGGCTGAGCCGGACCCTGGCGCCCGGCGGAGGGAGCGCCTCGGGGCACCCGGCTGGAGCCCGGGCCCCTGGCCTTCGCCTGTCCGCGCCGCGCAGGGGTGCGCGCTGGGCGCAGGGGTCGGGCGGGGTGGGAGGGCTCGGCGACGCGGGAGGGAGGGGCTGGGTCGTCGCCGTCGCCGCAGCCGCGGTCCGGGACTCTGCCCCTGGTCCCCAGCAGCGACCCCTGGAGTGAGCGCTTCTGTGCACTCAGTCGCGCACCCTCGGCGCCGGGAGCTCTGGCGAGCGGTGGAGGGTGCGCCGGCACCAGGGAGGCGGCTGTCTCACTCCAGCCCCGCTGCCTGTGTGCCCCGAGTCGCCGGCTCTCTCTGCCCTGTTTGCGTTTGGGCGGCGGGTGCTCGAGTAGGTGTTCACCCAGCTTCGGCTTCGTCGTGCTGTGCCTGGAGAGCAAAGCCTGGATCTTGACCCAACTGGAGTTTCGGTCGAGTTGGGTCTGTGGCTGCAGAGTTGGCTCGTCCCGGGTCGGTGCTCCTGCAAGGGAAGGTGGTGGGGCGGGTGGGTAGGGGGCCAGAGAGCATAAACGGTGGGCTGCTGGCTACCAAGCTGTGCGTCCAGGCTGGAGGACTGGCCCCGGGTGATGGAGTCTAGGGCCATCAAGTCAGCCTGGGCAGTGAGTGCAGGGCACTTCATTGGAGCCTCTGCAGGTGTTCTCTCTATAGTGGTCTTCTCTCGCAGTGAGTGCAGGGCACTTGATTGGAGCCTCTGCAGGTGGTCTTCTCTCTAGGGGTCTTTCTGCCTTCCTACATGGGGCTTGCTCTGAGGCTGGGCCTTCCCGCCACCCCTTGACCTCATAAATAGGGGAAGTTAGTGCCTGCTGAGTGCTTGGCTAACCTTCCTTATTTGTGAAGAGAAACCTAGGGCTTAAGCCATCAGAGCACCATCTGTACCCCTTTATCCCCACCACATTCAGCCAGCTCAGTGCTTGGCAGCAGCATCTTTCCTAACCCTTCCAGGGAGTAGTAATGGGCACTCTCAGAATGAAGCTCATACTTTCCCCTCTTCCCCCTCTGATGACCCCACATTCCTTTCTAGCTCTCATCTCAACTATCTTCAATCATTGTCCCATCCTGAAAATCCTGTATATCTAGGAGATAGTCCTTGGAAGCCCAGGCCACCAGAGGGATTTCCTCCTTTTCTCTCGTTGCATCATTCTTTGTTGCACCTGACATTTGGTGGGAGAATTCCTTGATCCCTCTATCCCCACATCTCTACACTCCACTGCTTGGACCATCAAATGTGATCTTCATTCATTTAACAAAGCATGATCGAGAGATTCGGGGTGCCATCAGAACCAGGTACCATACCAGGCACTGTTTCAGGCTCATAACTCCCTGCCCGACCGTGAGCACTTTGTGGCCTTGGAGTACAGGCTGGACTTGTTGTAAGTGCTCAGTAGTGTTTCTTGACCTGAGCTTGATCTCACTTAGCAGCACCACTCAGGCAAATGGGACTCTAAGCCCGCCGGTGCTTCTGAAGATGTTGTTGCTTCTCGGAAGAAAGGGCGCAGAGGAGAGGGCTACACAAGGGTTGGCTGTTCTGGGAAATCACACCCCTTTACCAGCTGGGCAGCTGTGCTAACCTCCAAGGACAGGTGAGGGTGCCTTTCATCTCATTTGGGAGTGTGAGAACAAAGCTCCTGCCCTATGTGGGCGGGAGGGGCCTGGATGGTTGTGAAATTCCCATGGAGGCCTGGGAGCAGGGAGTTTTGGGAACTCTGGGTTCTGGAAATATTTCCTGAGGTCTCACTCGAGGCTACCATGTGCATAGGGATTTGACTTTTACTTGTTTAACTTGAGTTGTGGAGGAATTCGTTGTGGCAATGCCTACAAAGTGCCATTGTGCCAGTACTAGGAAACCTTGCTGGGTTTCAAGTGGAGGTTATGGTCCAGTTTACAGAATGCTGAAGGTTTTAAGTGTAGTAGCGATGGTGAGTCTGTTGAGACTTATACCAAGCACTATTTTATTTTATTTTTTAAAAATATTTTATTTTATATAATTCTTACATCGTTTTTCATCTTTGCACAATGTATCCATTTTCATTATGGTTATATTCCCCATACAATTGCCCCCCCCCCCCCTTATTGTGACTCTAGTCCTTCCCTTCCCCGCCCCTCCCTATCCCCCCTCCCCCCACCCCCATAGTGTGTCTCTGGTTTATAGTTGCTTGTTGATTTTGATTTTTACTTTGTATTGATTAGTCTTTTTCCTGGTCTCTTATTTAAGTTTTCTAAATTCCTTCTATGAGTGAGACCATCCGGTATTTTTCTTTTTCTTTCTGACTTATTTCGCCAAGCACTGCTTTAGACACTTTACTTGAACTAACTTGTTTAGCCCTTGGAATAACACAGCATGGTAGATAATGTTAAAGTCACCTTTTACAGAGAAGGAAGTTACGGCTTATAGAAGTCATAGACTAACTTGCTAAAGTTCTCGATGTGAGCCAGGTGTCCTCATTTCTAGGCAATTAAACAATGCCTTTCTCTTAGAAGTGAGAAAAGTTGATTATCACACTGAATAAGCCTGGATCCCAGTGGGGCTGCAGATCCTCTGTGCTGGTGTCCTTCTATTCCCTTCTTCTGAGAACACCTCATTGGTCTGGTCGTATAGTGTGTTCTCCTGAACCCTTGCAGATTGGCCATGGAGGTTTGTCTCCCTAACATCGGGATTGTCAAGACCAGCACTGCCATGCATAAAAGATTGGGGAGTGAGTCTTCGCCTCTGTCTAGATAGATCAGGGCTTGCCTTGATAAGTGTCTTCAGCTTTCAGAGGCTTGAAGCAACAGACACATTGCTCACCCCACATCTGTCACACCTCTGCTTCATGTTCTCACTGCGGAACCCATGCTGATTGATAGGAGCATTGCTGGTCATCTGGACAGAGGCACCGAGACCTTGATAAATCTCACTCTGGCTTTTATGGATTCCACCCAGAGGTGGCATTTCAATGACTGAATCAGTCACATGGCCATACTTACAAGGTGAGATGGAGAAGGAGATTGGAACCATTTGGTTAACCCTGCTAAGCCTACTTTCCCCTGTGACTTCTTCCCAAGTTCTGGGTCCAAGTGTTGTTTGTTTCTCCGTCACCAGCAACGTAGATTGTGAATTAGTTGAAGAAATGCTGTTTGTTAAAGATAAATTGAGGTGTCACATTTGAAGGGCAGAGGTATGGTGGATAAAATATATTCTTGGGGGTAGTAAGAGGTGGTCTGCAGAGGCAGCTTGCTCCTCTGCCCCTGGGCAAGTGAATGGACTTCTTTACTTGTTCATTTTTTTTTTTTTTTTTTCCATTCATGGGTTCAAGAATTAGTCGTGAGTTTCAGGCCAGGGATTCTTACTAAGCACTTGTTTAGCTCCTAGCTGGTGCTAGGAATGGTGATCCCTCTTGCTTGCTGCCAAGTTCTGGTGGCATAAAAATGGGGTTATTAGTACTCACACAAAGGGAAGCAGGCTCCTACTCCTCCTCACTGTCCTGGACATCAATCCATGGACTTCCTGGACTTCCCCATGCTCTACCTGCCTTTGGGTAGTATGGATAGCGTCTTGCCTAGCAGAGGGACAGTAGAGGTACTCCTACAGGTATTGTCCTTCCTCTTTTATTTCTGGGGCTCTGGGACTCAGTGTCCAGGCCTAGGAGTATGGAAACAAGAAATGATGAGGTTACTAATGGAGGAATCACAGAGAGAACCAGCTTGAATGTGGGACTGGTATGTTCTCTGTAATGAACCTCTTTGCTAATCACATTTTCTACTCAGGCCACCCTTTGAGTTGTTAAAGAGTCAGCCATACTGTGGAACTTGCTTTTGTGCTTTGTCATCTGCTTGGTCTCTGGTAATTTCCAGTCGGGCCAGGAAACAATGGTGGAGGTGGTGAGACCTCAGGTTCTCCTGCTCTGTGGTTAACTCACTATCCTTAGGCATATTTCCCCCTTTTTCAAAGCTTCTGTTTTCTTATCTGTAATAGAGGCAAAGGTGGTCGCATTCCTGCCTGGTCATCAGAGTCCCATCATAGAGAATCTTTGCTCCAGGTGAATCCCAGCATTCCTGGTTTGTCTTTCATTACAGCAGTGTCCTCTGACTGAATCCATCTGGGGTATTCATAATTACTCCTCATCCATTTTTCTACCTTGACAGCATATTTTTTTTGTTTTGTTCAGACAGGGCAAGTGACTGTACTGGAAAGTATTCAGTGCCTCTGTCCTTAAACATGAAGATGAATAACACTGTCCAGCTCATAGAATGGACAGTGGTGAGGTCAGTTTTTGGATTGCGTCACTTTGTAGTGACCCAGACATGTCTTTGATTTTTATTTTTCTTCATCTTGGACTTGGTTTTATCATCTGTAAAGTGGGAAGAATCTGCCCTTTGTATCTTTCTGACAGGATTACTGTTACACTTCAGGTATGAGAATTGGAATCTTAGGCCCCTTAGTTAGGCCTCAGTTGTTGATATGGGGTTTGAGGCTGCTGCCATCAGGCTGATCGCTCTCAATAAAGTGCTCAGCTGTAGCTGATTATGGGAACCCCACTTCCTCTACTCTTGGGGCCTGGGGGTTTGGGTGGGGCTGGGCGATACTGGGCGGTGCTGTGGTTATCATAGAGGCAGGAGCTTAAAAGGGCCTGGGTGAATTAAGACTTCACTTCTTGTGGTTTGTTCTGTCTCCCTCCCTGAAGAGCTGGGAGAAGGCCCAGGGCCCTGTGTCCATCAGCTAGATAGATGGGG